TGAAAAGAATTTACATTTCTAAGGCGTTTCTGAAGGAATGCCCTTGGACTCGTGGTAAGGGACTAGAAAGGGCTTTTAAAAAGGCAGGGTGAGGGAGAGACCCTCTTCTAAATTGATTTCAGAACCTGGCAGATTTTAAGAAACCTTTCAGTAACATTTTGCAAATCAATGCTAATGTGATGTATCGGAGCTCAGCACTTTGCTGTCAAACCAATATTAACCAGGCATTTTTGGGGACTGTTTATGGCTCAAGGTCCATTAAACATGCAAACCTGGCAATTGTTTCACTTCCCTTAAAACACTTAATTTGAAATGTGTATCAGAGCATCCATAAATGGCCTTTCACTCTTCGTCGGAGAGAAGCCTCCCTCTCCTGGAAGTGCGAGTCGGTGCCCTGGGAGAGGCTGCCGGCTGTGCCGCGGCTCAGGACAGAAGGCAGGGTGAGGGGGGGACTGATGCTGCCTGCAGTGCTGCCAAGGAGCAGCACAGCCACCACAAAACCTCCTAGGGCATGATCTGCCAACCCCCATTCAACCAACCTCGGGAAAGCCAGGAAATGTTAAGTAAATGGCACTTCTTGGGAGAGCAGTAATTACTCACCTTGGGAAAGGTGGCGGGAGCAGTTACATAAACTTTCTGAGTGCTTTTTGAACTTGAGTGCCTGCCATCTGACATCCACTTGAAGGTAGGAGCTAAATAGAAGCTGCTTTATTTTTCAACAGTTGCTAATTTGAGCCAGAGCTGAAGGAGACCCCGGTCTTTAAATTTGGGTTCCTTTAATACCTGCACAGAAATAGTTTGAGAAAGGTTGGTTTCTCCTTCTCTTCAGTGTGGTCCTCAAATGCAAACCCAATCCCTTTCTGAGTTGGAAGAATCACAGCAGTAGTTAGCTGGTGACATGTATATTTAGATGACTGACTTTAGGCACCTACGTTGGAATATATTATTTAATATGCCTTCATTTTTATGTCCTGAGATGGGGAAACGACTCAGCTCAAAGAAGATCAATTAATTTTTCTGTTGCTTTTAAGTTCTTTAATGGAAGATGTTACATAAATAATTATTTAATATACTTTAACAGGATTTTTTTGCATGAGCTGCTTGATCTGCTTTAAGCATATAAATCAGAATGAGCTGAATTAGTAAAATAAATTCAGAAATCTAAAGGGTGCATCAGAACTTAGACTAAGGGATAAAAGGGATAAAAGCTAAGTTGCTCTTTCATTTGGGAAGAAAAGCACACAGATTGTCATCTTGTGAACCTTTGGACTTCTCATTTTTCAGGAATCACAAAATCCATTTGTGAAAAGATCTAGGAAATAAAGAAAGAAATTGTACCAGTAGCATCCTGGTCAGTAAAACATATCAGGCTCCAGGAACATGGAGGGGATGATGCCATGAATCTCTTCTTTGTGTTGCAGCTCAGAAGAGCAACTATTTTCTTCATTTTAGCAGATGCCAAAGGCTCAGAAAAGGGAGTACAGACAGAAGGCAGCCCCTTTCTTGTGGGAGAAATGTATATGCCTGGTTACAGAAGGGATAATCCTGTCCTAATCTGCAGTGATCCAGACCTGTTCATACGGGGGTCATCACAGCACTGGGGTGCAAGGCAGAGTTGGTGTAATGACCAGCTATTGTTTCCTGCTTCCATCTCCCAGTCCAAAACTTAGTCCATCCAGCACAGATTTACACATCCACCAGTTCTAGGGAGAGTTCCTTCCTACCATCTCTGTGATGTTTTACAAATAATTACATGGATTTTTCCAGCTTTCTCCAGAAGTATCACACTCACATCCAAAAACTTCCCTCTCTAACTACAGAAGCTAATTTATGACTTTTCTGTCTTTCCTTCTCACCAGCTATTCAGATCCCATTGTTTGTGTTTCCTTGTAGTACCTTTCCTGGTCACAAAGCCCTGTGACGATGTTTTAACAAATCGCTCATAATTACGAGCAGAATGGTTCACATCTACGTGCTCCTTACGGCTGTGTGAGCCATGCAAGGGAGCTGCTGTCCAATAAATTACTGACCTGTCTGCCTTTGCACAGTCCTCCCCAAACTCTCCAGCGTCTCTTCACTGCTTTCCATCACCTGCCTTAGTGCCAAGATGAAGGATGGCAGCTGTTTTGGCAATTAATGCCAGTATTCTTCCTTTGCAAACTAGGGGGAGGGGATTTGCTTTCAAGCTGCCCCTCTTCCCACTGAGACTGGCAATAATATTATCCCACATCTTTAAATACCCTTCTCAGAACTTATGGTGTGAGAGCAAGATGCAGAGGTTTTATGATACAGAAAAATGACACAGATAATTTCCTTTTTTTTTTTTTTTAATTTTTTCAACATGTAAAATCTAAATTGACTTTTGCATCCTTGAAATTATTAATTCATCCTTTCCTGGTAAAAACTGTAATTATTTAATGCTCTGGAATAGCACTGCCCATGTTTTGTGTATGCTGTCACTTCTGGAGGACTCTGTGTACCCCCACAGCATTAGATATTTTACATGCACCTAACACATAAAGCTCTTCTATTCTTTAGCTTGCACAGGAGGTCTGCAGTACTGATGGCAGTCTGTACACAGTATCTACAAATAATAAATCATGACACTTAGCTGCACCATGTTCTTCTAACTACATTGCTATTAACCTCTGTTGCAGCACTTCTACTTCAAAATACTGAAATCAGGTTGTTGTTCTATCTTCGGTTTACACTGGGAGAAACCTCAGCTCAGGTTAATGTCAGGAGTTTATCTGAGGTCTCTGTTATAATAGCAGCGTGTCGCTGGCACAGAAATTCATCTGGTTTTCATAAATATTTGATAGGGCTCTATCACCCTCATCATCATTGTGGGCTGGTTGCAAGAGGATCCCCCCGCGATTGCAACCCATTTCCGAGTTGTCATGGAAAGTCAGTTGGTGATATTTCAATCAGAGTGTTCTTATAACAAATTCCATTCAAATTCTGTCTGAAAGGGAGTTAAGGTTTCATCCTGCTGCTTAGAGAATGATATGCTAAATGCAGCTTCCCATGGGCTTGGCTGCAGTCCAGCGCTTTGTAATTTAGAGTTCTCCTTCCCAATTCTGGCTGTGACCTTGGGACCAAACGCTGAAGTTCCCCCCAGCTGCCTCCACTCTTTGCTAAAACACTGTCCCAGAGTCCTCCCCCCTTTCCCAGAGCCCTCACCCCCTTCCCAGGCAGCACGTGGCAGCAACCGGGCAGCTCCCGGGGAACGGAGGGCAGTGCCCTGGCACACGGGCAGGTGGGAGCAGCAGCCCAGGGAGTGCTCGTTTTCTCTCTTTTGCTGGTAGGAGCATTGTTCTTAAATGACAGAAATTATTAGCTGGCTTCAAAGCATGAAATTCATTCACAGAAAAGGTTTAAATTGTATTGGCCAAAGGCGCTTTCTGTAGAGACAGCCACAAAACAGCTCTAATTGGAGAGCTCCAAACTGCTGTTGTGCCCTGTGTGTTTATATGGGAAAAGTAACTTCAAAGTTTATGTCAACATGTGATTAAATAAAAAAGTTTTAACATTATTACTGATCTTATTGATAGCGTACTGGGGGTGCCTAAGATGCTTTACTGAGAAATGTGTGTGTCCATGGCCAGAGGAGCTGACAACCCAGACTGTAACACAGGCCACTTTTAACAGAAAAATTGTGTAATTGAGAGAAATTATTGCCCCTTGAAGAATACATTCATTATAGATTGTAACAGAGATAGGTCTTCAGAATGACTGCAGTTCCCTTCAGTTAAAGAGCTGTTCAGACATACCAGGCTTTGAGCTCATGTACGTAATTGCAATTGTTTTAACAAAGTTAGTAAAGAAAAGTGACTTAGAGGAAGGTGCAGCTCTTTTGTTCCTTTTCTTTTTTTTCCCAGATTTTTAAAGAACATATCTTCTGGAAATACATGTTTGTATTTACCTGTCTGGATTCCTTAGGATGGGGAATAATTTAAAAATAAAAATGGGTGCCTTTCAAAATAATGATTTTTTTTTCTATTTTTAAGTTTTTAAAATCATGACTTCAAAAGTCCTTTTGATTTGTTATTTCACCAGTAATTGCCATGGATTTTCAGCAAAACAAGTGATACACATTTAGCTTTAAAACCAAAGAAAAAAACCTTTTTGTTGTTTTTGATCTTCCAAGTATTACGTCTGACATTTTTAGTGATTGGCATTTACCACAAATGAAGGTGCTCTGTAACCCAGTTGTATCCCTGACCTTACATAGATCTCTTTTGAAATGCTGCTTCTATTACTGTTGTGAAGACATCAGAGAATCATTAAGTAGTTCTTTGTAAACAATAAACCAACAAACCCTTCTGCTGGATGCTCATCACCGAGACACCACTGGCAAAACATTCATCAGCTCTCTGGATCCATCTAAAAATGGTGACCTTCAACTGGAGAGCTTCAGCATACATTCATTTAGGCTTTGTTGCTTCACCTGTAGCACAGCTACAATTCAGCAACTAAAGCTGTGGGCAGTGCTTTGTGGAAAGGCCCTTGGACAGCAGTGGTGCTGTGTGTGCAGATCCCCTGAAGGGAAAGGGCAACAGGCAGTATTTACGGCAGGTTTCTCTACAAGAGGCTTCTGTGCTTTACACCGAGTATTTATTCTGGCAGTCGCTGTGTAATTGTGCTGTAAACCACCCTGGGTGCTGGTTGCTGTGTCCCCAGGAGCTTGACTAGATGCCAGCCAGCAGTGAGCTCTGTGATAATGGTGTATCATTTCACTGAGGGAGCCTCGTGCCCGTGGGTAGCAACAGCCTTCCTGCTTCCTCCCACGCTCCTCTGAGCTACCAAATCCCATCTCCAGGGTGTCTTCTGGACTATGAACTCGCTGTTGTTTATTATTAGCACACCTTATGAAGCATGAGGTATGTGTTAGAAACACCTTTCTCTCACACGTCAGAGAATTAACATCAGCCTGTCTCCAACCTGGCTGACCTCATTCCCATGCATTTCTAGGGCAAAGAAGGAGTGGGGAGAGCTTATGCAGAGAGGACCCACCACCAGAGCTCATTATTTCTCCAGGGAAAGCTTTCTCTTTGCAGAGTCCTGCTCAGCACTGGGAATCTCCTCATTCTTTCAATGAAGACCAACCAGCATTGGCTTTTGTGGTGCCCTGAGCAGAGGCAGCAGTTTCTTCCAACCTTTCAGTGTTGCAGAGTTTTTTGTAGGATTATTGGCATTATTCATGCAAACCTCCAGCTCCTCATCCTTAAGTGACTTTGAGACTTCCTTCTATAATCCATCTTGTCAGCAGCCTTCTTGGCTGGCCTTGCCTTAGTAACAACTGCTCCTTCTTCCTGCAGTTCTCCTGACACCCCTGTCAGAGGGACAGAAAGCTGAACTCAGTAAGAGGGGACTACATGGAATTCATCCACATTTGGATGGGGAGGGTGCATGATGGATAAAGGAAACCTGTAAGGTAGTGACAGAAGCAGCAACTGGGCCGGTTCAAAGCAGCAGCTCTGCCTTGTAGCTCTGTGTAGCACTGTGTGACATCACCTGCAGCACAACCTGGGAGACCAAGGAGGTCTCTTTCCATCTGAGCTGGGTGTTGTGTGTCTGGTTGAAGCCTCCCTCCTTTTTCCAGCAATGTGCCATCTCACTGGCTGCGTGAGCCTGGCAGTTGTGCCGCACTGGGCACCTTCCCTGTTTGGCCCTTCTGCTGCCCTGTCACTTTCTTTCCTCGGGACTTCTTTTTCCTGCTAATAACTCACCTAAACTTTTTCTTTCTTAGCTTCAGGCCATTGCTCCCTGGCCTACAATTTTCTGAGAGTGTGAATAATTTCCTCCCTTCATTTCTGCTGTTACCTTGAAGGTGTTTTAGACTGTGGTCATGTTCACCCCGTGCCGTCTCTTTCACTGAATTTGTCTTTCTCAGACTCTCCACATATCACGTTCTCTAATCCACGTATCCTTTGCCCTCCTTTGTTTTCATCTTCTTTTGAAGGTTGGTTGCTAGAAATAAACAGTATCATGGTTTTAGATGGCCATTATTTATATTGATTTACATGCACTTCCCCCAGTTAGCTGCATTTTCTTACCCGGAGGGGCTATTTCTGTTTATATTGGTTTATGTTATGAAATTATCTGTCTCCTCTCCAAATTTAATTTTTCAAATGAAAATATACCAAATAACTCTCCATTTTGCTGCCCAGGTATCAACAGAAGGCAGTAAAACTAAGGAAGGCAGCTGCCAAGACTCCTTAGTCAATTTTTGGTAAAGGCTTCTAAGGTAAATTTTTGTTTGGTAAAGACCCCTAAAATCAATTCTTGTTTGTTGCAAAAGCCTTGTGTGAGTTCAGTGCAGCTTCTTCACAGGTACCTGCTCACACAGGAGGCAGGGCTGTCCTCAGGATTATCCCTATGCCATGTGCAAGGACCTCTTTGTCATTTTGGAAGGTACAGTCAGCTGCCTGTCCCCAGCCATGCAGCTTCTCCATCTGGCATTGGTCCCAGCCCACCCTGTCCCCAGCACACCCCGGGGCTCTGAAGGCCTCCACCACACAGCACTGACCCCTTTACCTTGCTGCTTTTTCTAAAGTTTGTAACAAATCCGCAGATGACAAATGTGAAAAGCAAAAAGCCTCAGGAAAAGGTTGCATCCTGTCATGGAAAAGGAGCCTGTGCCTGGGAGCGAGATCGCTGGATGGTGAAACAACCACAGCTCCCCCAGAGCAACAGGGAGGTTGAGAGGAAGGGAGAAGTTTGAACCTAGGTTTGTAAAATTAGGCCATGTTAAGATTTCTGACAGTGTCAAAGTACTGGAAGATGGAAACAACCTCCTAGACTGCAGCACGTGTGGCTCGGTGGACGTGCTCAGGGTTAGGTTTCTGCACGTCTGATGCCTGTGTACAACCTGACACTGGTGGTGTCCCTCCTAAAACAGAACCATCTATCAAACCAACAGCACTTCTCCAGCTTCCTCCTTCTGCTTCCCCATCACTCTGTACAGTCCTTTGGTTTGTTTAAGTGTTTATGGCTTGAAACAACTGTAATGGCTTTGCAATCAAGGTCTCAGTTCTGAAAAAACAGGAGGAAAAGAATACCTGTAATAATAATATTTTTTTTTAAATAACTAATTCTTAGTTCTACATTGGCTTATTGAAAACAAACAAACAAACAAACCTCCAGTAACTAATAATAGCAACACTCATGAGGACTGCTGACATAAAGGACAGGACAAACTTTCTGAAATATCTCCTGTCTTCAAACTCTATAAATATTTATCCTTCCATACTGCCGGTTTCACTGGCACCTTGCTCTGTTTCAGCAGAGCCATGACAGGCTGCACAGGACAATACAAGTGAACAAGTACCTTCTGCAGGGCTTGTTGCTGCCAGAAGAATTGAACTCTGAATAATTTTTCTTCTCAGTGGTTAGCCAGAATTAGTGGGGGGAAGAACTGCTTCAGGTCTGTCCAGAAGACAACTCAAGTGTTTAGTTTTTATCACTGAAACAGAAATCTTAAAAATTAAAAATATTTTCCAAAACAAAGATTTGGTTTTTTTCATAGAAATACAAAACAAACCAACAGATAATTCATAAAACAATAAAAGAAAGATCCCAGCAAGCCTCAGCAAGAATTACAAGGAATTATAATACCCTGCCTTTCAGACAATCAAAGTTTTTAGTGGACACCAAAATGCATTCGGGAAAGGGGCTGTTGCTTCTGTCTTTTAGTTCATTATTAAATTCAAAATGTTTGAAATATGCATTGTAAGACGACTTTATTTTAATTTTCCTAGCAGAGATGCTGACAGGTTCTGGATGATGCTGCACTGAACTGTCCTCTTTAATGACATTTTCTTTTTAATAATCATTGATCCACACAAATTTGTCAGTTCCTAAATAGGAGCTCATCACTCACATTGCTTGTGAGAGCTCTGTCAAGGGCTGAGCACGGCACAAAGGATCTCCAGCTATGCAAGTTTACCATATACTCACATGATAGGCTGGATGTGATTTGGATTCTAATTTTTTGTGGCTGTTCTAAATACAACAGTGTACCAAAATACCACGTCTTCTGTCCCTGAATGCTGACAACATTCAGAAAGGTAAGGTGAAATCCTATGGTGAATCATAAGCAAAATAAACTAAAGCAGTGCTTCCTGTCAGCCCCCAGGAACAAGAGCTTCTCATTCCAGCTCCTCCCCCTTTGGGCCAAAATACCACCTTTTTCTTAATTTATTGTTTAAAAGATTGGCCATCCCAGCTCAGTTGTTCATACAAGAGGAACACAAAGGTCTTTGCCATCCTTCAGCCGATGGCAGGGATGGCTTAGCTGGACCCTCAGCACGAGGGCTGGTCCAGAACCCAGGGAACAGCCTGTGCTCTTTGCTCATGGAGCAGGAGGGCAAAGGGGTGAAAGAAGGCAGGGGGAGACTGAGAGGGCGTGGTCTGGTCAGACACTGAGCCGTTAACTGGTTCTGTTTTTCCTGACCTGCCTCTGGACATTGGTCCCAGTGTATCAGCCCCCAGCCCCACCCTGACTGCAAAATACACTAAATAAAATCAGGCAAAGGCAGCACAACGTGCAACTGCTAAAGGCAAGGAAAGAGAGGTCTGGGCTGTTCAGGGGCCCCAGTGAGGCAGCAGATATGAGGTAAAGGAGGGAAAGAGTGCAAGAGGAAGGTGTAAATTCGAGACCAAGAGCTGAGACTCAAATACAAGAGTGAGAAGGAGCCAGATGAGCTGAAAGGGGAGCTGCCATCCATGCCCCAAGGGATTTGTGGAGAACAGAAGGCTGCCTGGCTGTTAAAGTCTCCTTTCAAGGACACCAAGGAGGACAGGGGAACATTTTACAGCATTTCCCAGTGGCAGAGACAGGGTGAGCCTCCCACAGCCTGGACCTTGGATCAGTCAAAGCATTGCAAAGCCTCGCTTTTCCCTCTCACTGCTCTAGGTCTTGTCCTAGAGTCACCTTAAATGTTGTGAAAGCAAACACCTGCTGGAAATGAAATTGTAACTTGTGGTACATGTGCACATGTGAAGCCCTGAAAAACCACTGACATTACAAAATCCTGTCTCAGTGGGTCTGGTGCTGAAGGAGCAACTGTGGCTTCCAGCTGTTGTACAGAGCCTGGAGGGGCATCATCCTCTTTACAACTTCAGGAAGAAAAGACATCAGCACTAGTATGATTTTTTTCCTGAGTACTATAGGTAAAAGAGATGGGGAAGGACTGCCAGTCCTTTCCCAGACAATCCCCTGGATTAGGGAAGCAGAGTCCTTTAGGACCCCCTAGATACCATTGCTACATTTATTCCCTTTTCAGTGATTTCCAGCAATTCTCTCAGATTAGCACCCTTTTAGAACAGTACTGCTTGCAGATAGATAATGCTCTGTTTTCTCCTTCCCTCAGCATCTCCCCTGAGCTGACATCCCTGGGAAGGAGAAAGGTTTACAGTTCTTCCCCCCTTTTCATCTTGTAAGCTGTACCCTGATCTCATTCTCTGCTGCTACACAAACAATAAACCAGGCACCCGAGCAGGGTTTGTCTTAGTAATATTCCATTTCTCTGTCAGACTGCAGGTCAGGTGGTAATTTTGGGTGAGGTATTGTCTGCAAAGACAACGAATGCAAGGAACCATCTTTCTCCCTGCAAAGGATTAACTAGATGATCCAAGTGATTTTCTCTGTCACTCCTATCCCTGTTTCTATTATGGAATAAACCACTGGACAAAGAGAAGAATTTATGGCTTGGACTGTAGTGATGGATACTTCCAAAAAGCCCCATTTGGGTTATTTCCTCGCTGCCTCATAAGGGGCAGGACGTGCCCAGTAGAACAGTGGTAGTTCCCTGCTGTGCAGAGGTGACTGGAGAGCACAGCATATTCCCCCTGAAGGGTGCCACAGATGGCAAAGATTCTCGGTGTGGATGGCTCAGGTGTTGAAGAGCTGTAGGAACTTGAGGCAAATTTTGGCTTTCTTTCCTCATTTTCAGCCTTTCTGTGACATATTTGACTCTAGAAGGAATCCTTAGGACTTGTGTTCTAATAAAGACCTAGAAATAGATCTTTAAAAGTAGGGAGGAGAGTTCTGGGGAGATGCATGGATCCATCCATGTTATGGTTACAGCATTTCCCTTCCCTGGAAGCCTGAAGCACATTCATAGCCCGTCCATTACCAACCTTGGGGCAGGGGGAAATCTGCACTCCTGGTGCCAGCAGCAAACTCCTCTGTGAAACAGTCTAAGATCCTATTCATGATACAGTAAAGGTCTCACAGGTTAGCCTGTTGTTTTACTTTTTGAAGGAAAATGTCACAGTTCAGCTCATACCAACAGCAAGGTACCTGCCCTCAGCCTTGTACACTCCTTCTTCCAGGCAACTGAAGAACAAACCCTTTTTGAGTGAGTTCAACAAAAGGAACCAAAGATAATTATATTATATAAATATGAAGGTGACTCGTGTATGCTTATAGTCCTTAGACTGAGAAATGTTGTTAAAGGGAACAGGATGCCTTGATCCTAAAGCATCCTATTTTTTTCTCTGAAGTAAAACTCCATAGTACCATAGGGTGAATAGTTTTATTCTGCTGTTAGCCCCTCAATTCTGTCAAGAAACTCTTGAATACTGTTTCCCTGCCTCTTTCCTCTTTTTCCTGTTTTTTGGAGGTGTTTTTTTGTTTTGTTTTGTTTACCAGATAGAGGAATGCTTCCCTTAAAATTCCATTGTAGATAGTAAGTGTCTGTAGCTGACACTGGATAACATTGTCATTATGATTTAGGATCTCACTGATCATGCTTTATTTTTTTTCATATTTGGCAGAAGGTTTTTCACTCTCATTTTATGTGTTCATGGAATTGTTTAAAGTGAAGGGGCTCTCAGTCTCCTTTGCCATACTAAAAGGAAATCGAGGAGAGCCTGTTGTTATTACCATGCAGGCTAGACAGCCTGAACACTCTTTTAGCCAGATGTAAATCCACAATTATAAATCACCATGGGAAGGGGAATAA